TTGGTTGATGACGTTTCCTCCTCCGCCACCGGCAGGTCAATGTTTTCTTATTCTGTTAAATTCTCATTGCTTACACCATGTGGTCATTGAGAAAGCACTAACATTCAATATTGTTAACTCAATCAGCACAGATTGAGCTCAGTTGACCCTTCTACCACATCCCCCGACGATTGAGACAAAAGCCAACAATATGAACGACAACAACACTCTTCCTGTCAAGCTGGGTAGGCTGGGTTGTCCTCTATTCATTATTACATTAAAAAGCAGAACAGTAGGGCTTTATAACGTTACATTCAGTAGGAAGTTAGCTAGCGTTAGCTAACTAACATTAGGAACAATGCATTCTGGATTTATTTCAGGTTTTGGAAAGAGAGTAAATCGTACTTCTCCTTTCAACCTCTCTGGGTTGCGACTGTAATTATTATAAGGGCCCCAGCGTTTGACCATATCTTAGAAAAATACAGCCAAAAAAAGCTACAAAACAACTCCTTTTGCATTAGAGTCAATGGAGCGCAGCCATGAAAGTGTCGGACCTCAGTTAGAGAGAGTCCTATACTGCGCTGTGATTGGCCAGCTGCATATTCGGGGCGTGGCTTAGCGAAGGGTCAATTAGCACACAGTTACCCAGGTGGAAACACAAGGAGGAGGAAGAAGATCAGTATGGAGAAGATGAAGAGATGAAGGAAGAGGAGGAACAGTAGGAGTAAGAGGAGGAGAAGGGATAGGAAGAAGAAGAGGAGGAGGAGGAGTTTCGGAGGGCTTGTGTGTCATGTCTGAGGTCAAAGTTTGGTTTTTCTGCAAGATTGAATGGTTTTAATTGGAGAGCTTCATTTTGACCTGAAAATAGGATGTTTGGGAAATTGGTTGAGCAGTTGTGGATTTGTGTTTAGAGTTTCGAGAAAAAGAGGCATAATTTTAAGAAATGTGTTTAAGCAATCGAGAAAAAACTGTAATAGTGAGAGAAGACTTGTTTACTTTAGTGTCACGTACCCACGTACAATCTTTCCCTAACCTTTTGGATGTTTCATTCAGGATGTGAATCCATATTTCTAGTGTCAAAGTGCTGTGCTTTGTTCACCAACCATCCACCCTGATCACCTGCCTGTGCCGTCCAGAAACATAGCCCTTTCTACACAGCTGAAACAATTAGACACCTATTTACAACCTGACAATCAATTAATTGTTTACGTCATTTTACAAGCAAAAAATGCCAAAGACAAGTCCTATAGAGTCACAGTTGTGAATATTTATCTCTTTTCTCTGTTTTTTATCTTTTGGTTTGGGACTGAAAAACTCAAAAAAGTCAACTCTGGTAAAATTGGATGAACATTTTTCTATATTGTCTGAAGTTTCATTGACTAAACCATTGATCTGAGACAATAATCACTGAATGAATCGATAACAAAAATAACTTGTAAAAGAATGTGAACAGAATCCAGGCAGTGATTTTGTTTCTCAATAGCCTGTTGAAAACAGACGCATCGGTACCGGGGGCAACGGTGCTGTGGGCGAAATTACTAAATGAAGAAAAAATTTTTGCCTTTTTAAATAATGTTGTTGTTGTTAATGTTGTAGCTTCGAGTCTAAGCGGGCGCCATCTGGATCACTGCGCAAATACCTGCGAACTGTCTGCCTGCACTCGACATTTCTGCAGAGAGGAAACATGGTGGTGCAGTGGTTAGCACTGTCACCTCACAGCAAGAAGTTCGTGGAGTCAAACCCTGGCCTTTCTGTGTGCAGTTTGCATGTTCTCCCCGTGTCTGCATGGGTTCTCTCTGGGTGCTCCAGCTTCCTCCCACTGTGCTGGTTTGGATAATTGGTGTCTCTGAAATTGTCCTTGTGTAGTGGTTGTCTGTCTATGTGTGGCCCTGCGATGGACTGGTGACCTGTCCAGGGTCCAGGGCCCTGCTTTTGCTCAGTGTAAGCTGGGATTGGCTCCAGCCCCCACGACCCTGTACGGTGGTTGACGATGGATGGATGGAAATTTACATGTAAAGGATACTGAAAGGTTATTAGTCACCTAATCAAGTGATTTGTAACTGTTATAGTTTGTCTTTCTATTTTGGGAAACTTGTATTTTTGACAATGATAAGTGACACGAATATTTATGCATAGTGACTTTATTGGTTGTTTATAGTATAGATATTTCATCAGGTGAAGCAGTAATGAGTCATGAGTTGGTGCTAGGGCCAAGGATCTCTGATAAACTCCAGCCAGAAGTTTTTTTTTAGATATCATCATCAGTTACAGTTGGACAGATTGCCTCAAGTCCATTTTGTAATATCAGTGAGCAGTATTGTGAGGTTTATGCTGCACTTTGAGACTTCTTGCCCTTGTTGACTCAGAAGTTGAGACTGAAAGTTGATGCTTGACAGTAAAAATCATTTCACCACAAGTTCCATTCAGTAGCTCTTCTGGAGCTTTGGATCAATTACATGATCTTCTTCAGCAGATGGTGAAAACGCAGAGGTCAGGGAATATTTTAAGCCAAAACACAAAATCCCAGAAAATGATCAGAGGAATTAAAATTTGAAAATCTACATTTCAGTGTAAACATGCCGACTCCATCTGCTGAGAAACATCATGTGATGTAACTGAAAGATCCACAATAGTTTGTGGTTTATTTGTTTATTTGCTTTTACTTTCTTTCTATTCTTTGTACCATTTTGGGCTAGGGCAACGTGCAATAGTACTGGCTTCTGGAATTATACTGTAGTTTAGTCAGATGGTGGTGATCTCTGTACATGTTTAGTGACCTCGGATTGACCCACTTTTAATGTGAAGTGTAACAATGTGTGAGTGAGTGACTGGTGGAGCAGAAAAAACACCTGACAGAAACTTCTTAAAGGAGAAAATCAGCTCTCACACAGTAAAGGGGTTCTGCTGAGAGGGCAGTTTCCTACATATTCACATGTTTACATGTAGAGGATTCTGAAAAGTCTAGTAGTTAACTGATCTAGTGATTTGTAACAGTTTGTTTTGTCTTCTTTGTTTGTGAAAATTATATTTTTAAAAATATTAGTGACACTAATATAAATGCAGGTTTTACATATTTAGGTGTGTGTAATATGGAAATTTCTTCAAGTAAAGTAGTGTTGGGTGTTTCAGGGGATGCTGAGGCCAAGGATCTCAGAGAGCTTCCTCAAGAAACTCCAACCAGAAAACATGGAAGTCATCATCAGTTACATTACTGTTTTTATCAGCAGATGGAGTTCACCTAGCTGTCATAGAATATTTTAACTTAGTGGACATAAAGTCTGCATCTGCTGGATTTGGTCTGTTTTCTTTTTTTGTTGTTTCCAAGGTTAAGAATAATCATTTACTTCAGTATGTTGGTGGAGTTTGATTTGCATGTTAGAGAAAATGTGTTATTCCAAATTCTTTATATGTAATATTTACGGATATAGTTATAACAAGAAGGTTACTTATTTCTTTTGCATTTTTATGCTTTAAGTTAATATTTAGCTTTTCTATAGAGGACGTTTATATTATTTTGTGCTTTCAGGGATCTACTGGTTTTGTTTGGGCAGTCTCTGATCCTGAATGTTTCTGATGCTGATCTGTGTCTTCATATTTCGGATTAAATGTGTATTGTTGAAATTGCTTTAATCCAGTATGAGTCTGAGGTCAAAGGTCATGAACAAAACTTTTCTTATATGCTTTTCCAGGCTGGCTACTCTGGATTATTTGGCAAATCAGAAAAGACAGTGGGATTATAAAAAGATCTGAATAGATGGTAAGAAGCTGTGATGGAGAAAGTAATTTCATTTCAGATTTATATATATAATATATTCAGATAATATTATTTTGCTTTTTTTTTTTTTTTTAATTGAGCTTATTTTGCTACATGTTCATTGGTGGTTAAAGCAAAACTTGTGAAATCTTCAACCTTGTAGAAACATTGTGTGTGTACAGTATGTGTGTGTGTGTCCTCAGTGAAGTGTATCAGTCTCTGCAGTAGCTTCCAGCTGCAACAGTCAGTTCAGTTTCTGTTCAGTCTGACTGAGGGAGGTTTTTGTACGACGCTTTTTCACTGTGTGAACACATCCTGACTGTTGATATAGTGAAAACTCTGACAGTAGTAAACTGCTGCATCATCAGTCTGGACTCCACTATGGTCAGAGTGAAGTCAGAGTTTGATCCACTGCCTGTAAAACGATCTGGAATCCCTGATTCTCGAGTGCTAGCATAGTAAATGAGCAGTTTAGGAGTTTCTCCAGCTCTCTGTTGGTACCAGGCTAAAAGGTGGTTGTTGCTATAAACATAAACATTCTGACTGGTCCTACATCTGATGGAGACGGAGCCTCCCAGAGCAGAGCTCACTGCTCCAGGCTGAGTCACTGTGACCTGGCCTCTGGACTCTGAGGATACAGAGACAAGAACATAAAGCAGCGTCATGGTTTTGTGGGCTTCATTTCAGAGGGACGGATGTTCATAGAGGAGAGGAGTTTGATTCTCTGGACTTTACCTGTGAAGCAGCAGCAGAGGAGAGTCCAGATGAGGACGCAGGTCAAAGTCATGTTTTTGATGAGGAGGATTTCTGTGGCTTCTGTTGTCATGAAGGACAGCTGTCAGTCATCCAGTGTTCAACTCTCAGGACTATAAACTCTCCCAGAGCACTGGAGCATGGTGCTGCTGATGCAAAGTGGCTCTCTATGGAAATGCTCTGACTGACTCCAGCAGGGACTTGGATTACTCTGATGATGCTGTTTATCAATGGATCAATCAGTATTGATAAGACATTTAAAAAATATATTTTACATTATTTTGGTTTCATGCTTCTAGACACATACTGACTTATTTCAGTTAATTGCTAGAGAAGAAAATGTATAAATTTATTTTAAAATTAACAATTAAAACATTCATTCAAGTCTTATTTTCACATGTCAGCTGATAAAATGTTACAAACAGAAACTATTTTTGGTGAGTTTGTTTGTGTCAAAGTCAGAGAGCCGTGTCTCTCTACAGTGAGAGGTTTTTGTACGGCGGAGTTTGTATCAATGTGGGAAACGTTCGGTGGAGGAACCAGACTGGATGTTGGAAGTAAGTTTCTGCTCATATACTAAATACAATATTTTCAAGTCATACTTTAAATTCAGCTTTTGAAAGTTTAAGACAGTGTGGTATCCAATATATGTGCATTTGACTCATAACAGTTTAAGCACTTTAGCAGCAGGACAGAGGGTCAGTGACCTCCTAAGGGGAGAGCAGTGATTGGTGGTTATGTAGGGACTGAACCCTTCTATAGAATTTGACCTCCAACCCCTTGTTTTGTTACCTCAGAATAGTACTGTACCCTTCTATGGGTCGGAGCTTTATTTTGCAGACTCAAACCCTTCTATGGTTCCTAACAGATACCTACACATATCCTATATAAGCTGTGTTTGATGTGCAGAGAGACAGAGTGGCCATCGGGCTGGGTCACTCTCCAAGCTGCTGCAGAGCTTGTAATTGATGCTGAACTCCTTGATTTAATAAACTTTTATGATCAAGAACAGTGTCATTTCTTCTCAACACATCATCGCAGCATTATTGTTCGGACACCACAACAGGTAAATAGATCTTGGTTTAATTATAAAACTTTTATTGTTCATGTTTTAATTTCTCTTCCTTTACCATGGAGGCTAACTCAGAGCAGGGTTCGAATCATTGAATCACTCATCAATTATTGAAGTGGAGAAAATATAAAACTTTAATGTAAAAATGTTTAGATTAGTTTAGTTTAAAATGTTCACCACAATAATAGCTGTTGTTCTGATTAAATATAATTCACTTTCTACAGGTGAAATTGAAGTGAAGATAACAAAGGGTGTTTTAAAAATGTTGCATATTGTTATTTATTTGGAAAAAGAATACAATATTTCCACATATGAAAGTGAAAGGACAACTTGCACTACTTTTGTAAGTTAACAAAATGGTCAGAATATCTGTCAGTAAGTGAAGTTATATAGCTGAGGAGTGATACTTGAATGTTTGAATTTGCACTTGAACAGTAACGACGTTTAAACTGTATCTAGTGGTTCAACTCATCATTATAGCTGTTAATGTAAGTGAAGAAACACTTTGGTGATGATTGAAATCCAGATAAAGAACATCTTGTTGTTCTCAGTTCATTTCTGTTTTGGTTTCCACTGAAAAAATTATTGTATTGTTAAATTTGTTGATGATCTTGTTAAGAAAGTTTGTTATTATTTCCAGTGTAGTTTGATATATTTCAGGTCGTTCTGTATGATGATTCTCTCTGTGCTGATTTGCATGAGAGGCTTCTTAAAGGGAAGTGAAACAATGTGTGAGTGAGTGGCTGGTGGAGCAGAAAAACCATCTGACAGAAACTCCTTAAAGGAGAAAATCAGCTCTCACACAGCAAAGGTGTCCTCTAAGCTGATTGGTGTCTCCTTGGTGATGTCCGTCCCAGCCTGACGGTGCTGCCCCCTCCAGTGAGGAGCTGCTGCAGGGGAAGGCAAGAGGAGGAGGAAGAGGAGGAGTCCTGCTCATCTTGTGTCCTTCACAGTAGCATCCATAATTTGGACCTTCAGAAATTAGAACAGGTTGCAACAATCTAATGGTTATTTCTGCAGTACAGTGTTGTAAAAATATTCATTTTTGGCAATAAAGGTAAAAATTATACTTTTGGTTTACATACGTTTATGCTTTGCTTTTCTTGTATGTCACTGTATACAACACTGTGCTACTGTTACAGCAGTAATATTTTGACAAATAAATATATACCATGTGTGCAGCATTGGTGTTTACAGTGAACTTCTCAGCACATTTTAGCAGATTACTTACACTGTAAAACAATTTATGAAAGTGTACACATAGGCCTATGAAAGACAAAAGAGTATTAGATTTAGAACAATAGTGTGTAAATGGTATATCCAAAAACGTACTGTTATGAAAAAAGTGTTTGCCATTTGATGCAAGTGCTTCATTTTGGGATGTGTTTAAGGCATTTTGAATGCAGTGTTATATTTTGAAGGCGATATGAAGCATTTGCATTTTGTGTGTGCAGTTTTGCGAATTGTGTTTAGAGTTTTGAAAAAAGGAGACATAGTTTTGAAAATGTGTGTAAGCAGTTGGAATGAACTGTAATGTAATATTAATGCAACCAAGACATTATAAAAATCTGTTTATTCTAGATGGCAGAAACTGCTTCACGACACAAACTGCAAATTAGTTATTTAGTGACAAAGCTAATTTTTAAAAGTATTTCATGGTAAGTCAGATTTACAATATTTGACTCATAAATGAAGATGTGCTATTGGTAGAAACTCTCATGTTGAAATGGGTTTAGAAATGTCCTGAAAGTTTCATGAATCTAATTAATATAAAAAGTTTATGATTAATTTATTTCATTTGAATTATGAGGTAAGTTATTATCATCAAATTATATCAGTATCAGAATCAGTAGTTTGATCTCAAAATACAACATGTGTGTTTACGTTTGTAGAAAACTAAACTGTGTGACTTCAATATAAAACTTTTAATCTATTTTATTTGAAATGTAATCTATAAAGGAAATTAATGTGTTTGACTTCATTGTCAGTAAATTACTAAAGTATTTCTATAACTTTCCAGCTGAAGGAGGTTTTTGTACGACGTTGTATCACTGTGTGAACGGACGGCTGTAATACTGCTGACAGTAATAAACTCCTACATCTTCAGTCTGGACTCCTCTGATGGTCAAAGTGAAGTCAGTTCCAGACTGACTCCCACTGAAACGATCTGAAACTCCAGACTGACGGGTTTGAGCATCATAAATCAGGAGTTTAGGAGCTTCTCCAGGTTTCTGAAGGTACCAGTGCAAGTCATTAGTAACACCTGAACTGGCTTTACATCTGAGAGAGACAGTCTGTCCTGGAACAACAGACTGAACTCCAGGAGACTGAGTCAGGATGATTTCTCCTGATGAAAAGAGGAGAAGGGTTATTGAGAAAAATCCAGTTTGGAGAAAGATGATCAACATCCAAACAGAAGAGTCAGAACAGCTGAGAGCATTGATCTACATATTTACATATTTACGTGTTGAAGTTACTGAAAACTTTTCAGTAACTTCAACATGTAATATGGTGTTTTAGCCAATGATTAGTGACATTAATGTCAATGTAGGTTTGACATCTTTAGGTGTCTGTAATGTGGAAATTTCTTCAAGTAAAGTAGTGTTGGGTGTTTGAGGGGATGCTGATGCCGACGATCTCAGAGAGCTTCCTGGAGAAACTCCAACCAGAAAACATGGAAGTCATCATCAGCTACATTACTGTTTTTATGACATGATCTTCCTCAGCAGGGAAGGTGGATGAAAGGGGTCGAGGGAAGGTGGAAAAAGAGAACCCGGGGGTCGAGACTCAGGGTGGGGACTCGTCTCTGTAGAGGCTCGCTTGTGGAGCAGCTAATGGGAGAGAGAGTTTGGGCGATCTTATGTATGGTGGTGATTGGATTAGCAGGTGTGTGTGATGGGACACTGATGTGGTTTAATCAGTGAGGGGGAAGAGGGAGGCGTGGTCCTGTTCCTGGACCTCAGTTTACATAACGCCATAAGTGGACATCCATCCATCATCAACCTTATCCTGCGTACAGGGTCGCGGGGGCTGGAGCCAGTCCCAGCTGACTTTTTCATTTTGGAGAAAATGTGTTATTCGACATTCGTTAGTATATGCGGATATAGTTATATCAAGGAGGTTACTTCTTTCTTTTGAATTTTTATGATTTAAGTTGATATTTAGCTTCTCTATAGATAACATGCGTTTATATATTTAAAACACTATATTGTGCTTTCAGGGATGTACTGGGTTTTTTTGGACAGTCTCTGATCCTGAATGTTTCTGATGACGATCTGTGTCTTAATATTTTCAATTAAATGTACATAGTTGAAATTGCTTTAATCCAGGATGAGGTTGAGGTCAAAGACATTAACAAGACTTTTCTTATCTGCATTCCCAGGCTGGCTACTCTGGATTTTTGGCAAATCAGAAAAGAGAGTGGGATCATAAAAAGACATGAATGGATCGTGAGAAGCTGTGATGGACAAAGTAAGATTTCTTTCGTTTTTTTTAAATTGAGCGTATTTTGCTACATGTTCATTGGTGGTTAAAGCAAAAGTAGAGAAATCTTCAACCTTGTAGAAAACATTGTGTGTGTGTGTGTGTGTGTGTGTGTGTGTGTGTGTGTGTGTCCTCAGTGAAGTGTATCAGTCTCTGCAGTAGCTTCCAGCTGCAGCAGTCAGTTCAGTTTCTGTTCAGTCTGACTGAGGGAGGTTTTTGTACGACGCTTTTTCACTGTGTGAACATATGCTGACTGTTGATATAATGTTACTCTGACAGTAGTAAACTGCTGCATCTTCAGCCTGGACTCCACTGATGGTCAGAGTGAAGTCAGAGTTTGATCCACTGCCTGTAAAACGATCTGGAATCCCTGATTCTCGAGTGCTAGCACGGTAAATGAGGAGTTTAGGAGTTTCTCCATCTCTCTGTTGGTACCAGGCTAAAAGGTGGTAGTTGCTCCAAAATTGAACATCCTGACTGGTCCTACATTGATGGAGACGGAGCCTCCCAGAGCAGAGCTCACTGCTCCAGGCTGAGTCACTGTGACCTGGCCTCTGGACTCTGAGGATACAGAGAAAAAAATAAAGCAGCGTCATGGTTTTGTGGGCTTCATTTCAGAGGGACGGATGTTCATAGAGGAGTTTGATTCTCTGGACTTTACCTGTGAAGCAGCAGCAGAGGAGAGTCCAGATGAGGACGCAGATCAAAGTCATGTTTTTGATGAGGAGGATTTCTGTGGCTTCTGTTGTCATGAAGGACAGCTGTCAGCCATCCAGTGTTCAACTCTCAGGACTATAAACTCTCCCAGAGCACTGGAGCATGGTGCTGCTGATGCAAAGTGGCTCTCTATGGAAATGCTCTGACTGACTCCAGCAGGGACTTGGATTACTCTGATGATGCTGTTTATCAAAGGATGAATCAATATGTGAGAGTATTGATAAGACATTTAAAAAATATATTTTACATGATTTTGGTTCCATGTTTGTAGGCATAGTTGGTTTAAAAATATCTTCTGCCTTAATTGCCAAAGAAATAAAAATATTAATTGAATTTAACATTGATATGTCAAATTAAAACATGCATTTTGCATATTATTATGTCTTTGGAAAAAGAATACAATATTTCCACATTTCAAGTGAAAGGACAACTGGCACTAATTTTCGTAAGTTAACACAGTGGTCAGTATATCTGTCAATAAGTGAAGTGATACAGCGGAGGAGTGATAGGAGTAAAGGGAAGTGAAACAATGTGTGAGTGAGTGACTGATGGAGCAGAAAAACCATCTGACAGAAACTCCTTAAAGGAGAAAATCAGCTCTCACACAGTAAAGGTGTCCTCTAAGCTGATTGGTGTCTCCTAGGTGATGTCCGTCCCACCCTGACGGTGCTGCCCCCCTCCAGTGAGGAGCTGCAGCAGGGGAAGGCCACGCTCATGTGCCTGGCCAACAAGGGCTTCCCCTCAGACTGGAGTCTGGCCTGGAAGGTGGACGGCAGCAGCAGCAGCAGCAGCTGGGAGGAGAGCAGGAGCCCCGGGGTGCTGGAGAAGGACGGCCGCTACAGCTGGAGCAGCACCCTGAGGCTCCCTGCAGACCAGTGGAGGAAGGTGGGCTCTGTGACCTGTGAGGCCACCCAGGGCTCCCAGGCTCTGGTCTCAGAGACACTGAGGAGAGACCAGTGTTCCCAGTCCTGACCTGACTCACTGGGACTCTGCTACTGGTTTTACTCTGCTCTCTGAACTCTGTAACTCTCTCTGTGTCTGTGTCTCTTTCTTTCCTTAAGTCATTCTCTAATCACATGTTTCATGGTTAAAGTTTGTTTACTGGATTTAATTTGGATTATTTCAACACAATAAAGACCAGTTCATTCAAATCTGTTGTTTTCTGTTATAGTGACTGTACTCTGTTACTCATATCAGATCATATTAACAATATTCAACTTTAAGTAGTGAAGCTTCATTGATGTAATAATGCTCATGCTGTTAACACTGTAAGAAAATAAAAAAAGTTATTTCAAATTAAATAATATTTCATGATAGTTTTATTTTTTACTAACAAAGATGCATTTTCCTTCATTTTATCAGTGCAGGATTATATCTGAGGTAATTTCTTCTTCTCCTTGAGTCTCACCTTACAGAGTCTCTGTTTAGCAGAGACACTGTAAAGTTTCTCTTTATAGCTGCATTAAGAGAACTTTCTAAATGCAGGTATAAACAATGTGAATAAAGAATGAAAGCAGGTGTTTTCATGAATTCATTTAAAATGTAGTTTGTACAAATCTACATTACTCAATACGTTTCAAGGATTAAAAATAATATAAAGTACTTTCAACATGAGATGGTTCTTATCTCAGATTTTCAAACCAAAGATTTTATGTCAGTGTTGCATATACCACACAGTGACACATTGGTCTATTCTGATGAAGCATGCAGGGTGAAACAGTAAACACAAATATCAAATTCCATCACATACTCCTCCCTTGTGAGCATTCTTTGATCACTCAAGAATATACAGCATTACAAAAAGATCATCAGGTCATAGAAAGGCATCATGATGTAATCTACACCAGTTTAACCAAGACAACGAATCTGGGTCCTTCCTTTCATCACAGTTCTGCTGCTGCAACAATGGCATGTTCACTTGTTCATGGAGTGTGATCATTTGAATAGACACACATTTATCAATAGCTCTTACAGTCAAACCTCTGGCACATGGAATAATGCAACATCCACAGAGAGGTAACAGCGCTACAGCAATCATTAGGCCTGCTAGTATGGGCATCACTAAGGCTTTTTATTTAGCAAATACAGAATCAGACCAGTCAAACATATTAGTGTCCACTTCAGAGTTCTCTGCAAGTTCTTCTCGTAGCGAACGCATTCCTTCCAGCACTGGGGTCACCGAACCATCTGGAGCTGTATTGTTGGGCACAAACGTACAAGAGGAGTTATTAAAATTATCCAAGCATCCCAGCCTCTTTGGGTGCTTCTCTTGCCTCTAACACTGCTATGTGATGTCAATGCCTGTGTGTAGTTCACTGTGGTGTTCTGTTGTGGTGGCTTTTGTGCATCATGCTTGTGATCTAAGAACTGCAACAGAGGAACTGTTAATGCTATTGCAATGGCAGCAAACATCTGTGTTGTTCCTCGTAGGCCCACACATGTCTGGGTGTCTGACTGGGTCCCATGGATGTCTCCTTCCAGAGACAAACATGCTACTCACTCTTAAGTTTTGATGGCGTCACTTAAATCAGCAGGAGTTTTCCCACTAGCTCCCTTGTGTTGATGTTTGCTGTCTAACAGCCTGTGAGTCCGAGACAAAGGGTGCCTAAGCGTTCCCAATCCCTCTTTCACTTACAACACAAGGTCAGGGAAAACAGTGGTTCAGTTGCTGATTGTGCACGCTTGTTGATCTGTTACTGTTCTGGTGCAGGCACCTTCCTGCAGTGGCTGGTATGTATCCATGTAGCTCTTTCAGCCTCCACAACCACCACAAAACCTCCTGACGGGAGACTGCATCGGCTTTGTTGCTGGAGAGGGAAAAACTTCTATCCATTTTGGAAACATATCAACTATCATCAACAGTACTTTTTTGCCTTTGCTTGGGTTTAGCTAAAAACCTCCCTCATAAGGTGGTTAAATGGTTCATCTGGTGGTGGATGTGCTGCTAATGAAACCTGTAATCCCCTCCCTGTGTTGTGTCTTAGGCAGATTGAGCATGTTTGACAAAAGTTGTGAGGGTGTGTTGTGAAACCTTTCATGAACCAGTGGCAGTTTCCTAAACTCTTTGTGGTTATCATTCATCACCAATGTAGGCTGTTCAAGCTCATCAGCATTTACTAATAAATTAATATAGTATTACTTTGTTTTTTTTTACCTTCAATGTGCTTAAGATTTTATTTTTCTGTGAGAAATTGTGACTCACCCAGTGTGTGTGTGTCCCAGTTGTTTCCTGTCACTAGCGTCCGTCCCGCCCCCTCCAGCTCAGTCCATTTGGATCTGTTTTGTATCTGTCCAGACAATCTCTGTGTACCAATGTCCATTTTTGTCCACCGGTCTCTCCTACTGTCCATTTTCTCGTACTGTGATTGGTTAGTACAGAGTTCTTCAGCCCCTTTTGATGGCTATTTTATCACTTTGTCCTCTTTGTATAAATCTTCAGCTTGCATGCCCTATCAAATTTCAAAATATATATCAAAAAAATATCAAATTTTCATCACACCTATTTCATCAGTGTTTTATTTGCATGAAGACAATTTACTCAGTCCTGTCAATACATCTACCAAAGTTTAAACAAAAAATATTTTAAGCTTTATGATGAGAAGCAAAAAAACAACAACACAGAATATATCAAATTAACAAAATATGAAAGTGATTTCACATTTTACAAATCAACATGGAGGTGCATTGAATTTGAATAACATACTCACCTAAAACAAAGGAAAACTTACGAAATGACATTTCTTATTATTGTAACCTCTCAGTGTGTTTCAGTAAAATGTAACTTTACAACTTTTAACTGCATGAGTTTCATTCTAATTAAAGTACATTTACATACATTACATTACAGTGTGGTTATGTTTTTGAAATATCTAGTGTTATGGTTTCTGTGCAGCTGGTGATTCAGATCAGTTCCTCTCCAGCTGAGGGAAGATTTTGTACGACGTTGTATCACTGTATGAATGGGAAGCTGTGACCACCCTGGTGACAGTAATAAACTCCTGCGTCTTCAGCCTGGACTCCACTGATGGTCAAAGTGAAGTCAGTTCCAGACTGACTCCCACTGAAATGATCTGAAATGTTGCTACTGATCCTTGAACTGGCTTTACATCTGAGAGAGACAGTCTGTCCTGGAACAACAGACTGAGCTCCAGGAGACTGAGTCAGGATGATTTCTCCTGATGAATCTGGAAAACATGAAAAAGAGGAGAAGGGTTATTGAGACAAATCCAGTTTGGAGAAAGATGATCAACATCCAAACAGAAGAGTCTCATTTCTTTAACATGGAGAACAGATGGAAGAAGGTAAATGCTGCTTGTTTCAGTGTTTCTCCATCACAGCAGAACATCATTGTGGTGAACCTGGTTGCATCCTGAAGCAAAGTTTTCAGAAGAGAGTCTCACCCTGAACAAGGAGCCCCAGGGTGGCCAGCAGTAGAATCAGTGACATCATCATTGTGCTGCCGGCGTGTCAGTGGCTCTGAAAGGCCTGGACAGCCACTGATCAACACTGGCCTCTTAACGGCTGGGAGCAGAGAGGCAGGACACATATGCAAACACACAGAGTCAGTGAGCTGTAGCTGTCCTCAACATATCATGGTGTTTCCCCCTCAGTGCTGAGAGCGTTGATCTACATATTTACATATTTACATGTAGACGATACTGAAAACACGTCATTTTTAGTAACTTCTACATGTAATTTGGTAATATGATATTTGAAACAATTATTACTGACATTAATATCAATGTTGGTTTGACATCTTTAGGTGTCTGTAATATGGAAAGTTCTTCAAGTAAAGCAGTGTTGGGTGTTTGAGGGGATGCTGAGGCCGATGATCTCAGAGAGCTTCCTCGAGAAACTCCAACCAGAAAACATGGAAGTCATCATCAGTTACATTACTGTTTTTATGACATGATCTTCCTCAGCAGATGGAGTTCACCCAGCTGTCATGGAATATTTTAACTTTGAAGCCAACGTGGACATGAAGTCCTAAAAATGCTCAGAGGAATGTGAATTTAAAAATCTACATTTAAATGAAAACCGGGTGACTCCATCTGCTGAGGAAGATCATGTGATGTGATTGAAAGCTCCACAACAGTTAGTGGATGGATGTTGTTGATGATGAGGATGAGTTTGTTTGCTGTTTCCAAGGTTAAGAATAAAATTTTAGTTTCAGTGTATTTGTGGAGTTTTGATTTGCATGTTGGAGAAAATGTGTTATTCCATATTGTTTAGTATATGTGGATATAGTTATATCAAGAAGGTTACTTCTTTCTTTAGAATTTTATGATTGAAGTTTATGTATTTAAAATATTATTTTGTGCTTTCAGGGATGTACTGGTTTTGATTGGACAGTCTCTGATCCTGAATGTTTCTGATACCGATCTGTGTCTTCATATTTTCAATTAAATGTATATCGTTGAAATTGCTTTAATCCCGTATGAGTCTGAGGTCAAAGGTCATGAACAAGACTTTCCTTATCTGCTTTTTCAGGCTGGCTACTCTGGATTATTTGGCAAATCAGAAAAGACAGTGGGATCATAAAAAGATCTGAATGGATCGTGAGAAGCTGTGATGGAGAAAGTAATCTGATTTCATATTTTTTGTAAAAAAATTTTCCTACATGTTTATTGGTGGTTAAAGCAAAAGTTGTGAAATCTTGAACCTCATAGATGACGTGTGTGTGTGTGTGTGTGTGTCCTCAGTGAAGTGTATCAGTCTCTGCAGTAGCTTCCAGCTGCAGCAGTCAATTCAGTTTCTCTTCAGTCTGACTGAGGGAAGTTTTTGTATGACGGTTTTTCACTGTGTGAACACATGCTGACTGTTGATATAGTGTTGACTCTGACAGTAGTAAACTGCTGCATCTTCAGTCTGGACTCCACTGATGGTCAGAGTGAAGTCAGAGTTTGATCTACTGCCTGTAAAACGACCTGGAATCCCTGATGCTCGAGTGCTAGCAAGGTAAATGAGGAGTTTGGGAGTTTCTCCATCTCTCTGTTGGTACCAGTGTAACCTGTTAGAATTGTAAACATTCTGACTGGTCCTACATCTGATGGAGACGGAGCCTCCCAGAGAAGAGCTCACTGCTCCAGGCTGAGTCACTGTGTACTGGCCTCTGGACTCTGAGGATACAGAGACAAAAACATAAAGCAGCGTCATGGTTTTGTGGGCTTCATTTCAGAGGGACGGATGTTCATAGAGGAGAGGAGTTTGATTCTCTGGACTTTACCTGTGAAGCAGCAGCAGAGGAGAGTCCAGATGAGGACGCAGATCAAAGTCATGTTTTTGATGAGGAGGATTTCTGTGGCTTCTGTTGTCATGAAGGACAGCTGTCAGTCATCCAGTGTTCAACTCTCAGGACTATAAACTCTCCCAGAGCACTGGAGCATGGTGCTGCTGATGCAAAGTGGCTCTCTATGGAAATGCTCTGACTGACTCCAGCAGGGACTTGGATTACTCTGATCATGCTGTTTATCAATGGATCAATCAATATATCTGAGTATTAATTATAAATCTTTTAAAAACTATTTTGATATAATATATACTATTTTAATATATATATTATAAATTATTTTGGTTTCATGCTTCTAGACATATGTTGTTTCAAACTGACCTTTATCTTATTTAAATAAGAATAAGAAACTTTCATTTTAAAATAATATATCAAATAAAAACATGCATTCTGGAAATTTGTTACACTGTCTTATTTTCACATTTAACATAGAGCTGAAGAAACAGCCATGTTGATGAGTTTGTTTGTGTCAAAGTCAGAGAGCCGTGTCTCTCTACAGTGAGAGGTTTTTGTACGGCGGCTCAATGAGTTTGTATCACTGTGGTGGACTTTTGGTGGAGGAACCAGACTGGATGTTGGAAGTAAGTCAAATCTTTAACAAACTTTTATTTTAAGAGCTGTTTTTGTTCTTTTATATTCAGCATGCCAAGAAAATATTTGACTTTCTAAATTAATGTATAATATTTAATAAAATATTATGCACTAAGATTAAATGTTCACTTCAGCAAATCCAATTCAAAAACTTGTTCCATTAAATATAGAACAGTAGGCTAAACCTGAGGAGAAATCACTATTTACAATATTAAAGGTAAAGTTGTAGCTTGAAGGCTTGTAGCCTTAGTTTAGTTTGACAAAGTCAGACAGCCGTGTCTCTCTACAGTGAGAGGTTTTTGTATGGCGGCTCAATGAGTTTGTATCACTATGGTGGACTTTTGGTGGAGGAACCAGACTGGATGTTGGAGTTTCTGCTGAAATACTAAATACAGCATTGTCAAATCATGCTTTAAATTCACGATTTGAATGTTTGAGGCACAAAACTTTTATTGTTCATGTTTTTATATCTCCTCCTTTACCATGGAGGCTAACTCAGAGAAGCTTGACTAAACTTTTCTTTACACATACCTGTCATACTGAAATTCAAACACCCTGAAGTGGCGAAAAGATCAAACTTTAATCTTAAGGTAAAAATGTATGCCAAGATTAGTTTTGAAATTTCCACTGCCATAATAACTGTTGTTAGGATTTAATAAAATTAACTTTCTTCCGGTAAAATTGAACAGATAGAAGATAAAGATGTATACTTCCAAATGTTGCATATATTGTTAGAAATTTTGTTTGAAATCATTTAAAAACGTTGGTAACGATGAGTGAAATACATATGAAGAACATTTCCTTCTGGTCAGTTCATTTTCTGTATTTGTTTCCTCTAAATGTTTTAAATTAATGTATAGTTGAAATTATTGAAGAGAAATTTGATATTTTAAATCTGTAGTTTGATATATTTCAGGTCGTTCTGTATGATGATTCTCTCTGTGCTGATTTGCATGAGAGGCTTCTTAAAGGGAAGTGAAACAATGTGTGAGTGAGTGACTGGTGGAGCAGAAAACCATCTGACAGAAACTCCTTAAAGGAGAAAATCAGCTCTCACACAGTAAAGGTGTCCTCTAAGCTGATTGGTGTCTCCTAGGTGATGTCCGTCCCACCCTGACGGTGCTGCCCCCCTCCAGTGAGGAGCTGCAGCAGGGGAAGGCCACGCTCATGTGCCTGGCCAACAAGGGCTTCCCCTCAGACTGGAGTCTGGCCTGGAAGGTGGACGGCAGCAGCAGCAGCAGCAGCTGGGAGGAGAGCAGGAGCCCCGGGGTGCTGGAGAAGGACGGCCGCTACAGCTGGAGCAGCACCCTGAGGCTCCCTGCAGACCAGTGGAGGAAGGTGGGCTCTGTGACCTGTGAGGCCACCCAGGGCTCCCAGGCTCTGGTCTCAGAGACACTGAGGAGAGACCAGTGTTCCCAGTCCTGACCTGACTCACTGGGACTCTGCTACTGGTTTTACTCTGCTCTCTGAACTCTGTAACTCTCTCTGTGTCTGTGTCTCTTTCTTTCCTTAAGTCATTCTCTAATCACATGTTTCATGGTTAAAGTTTGTGTACTGGATTTAATTTGGATTATTTCAACACAATAAAGACCAGTTCATTCAAATTTGTTGTTTTCATTTCTGTTATAGTGACTGTACTCTGTTACTCTGTCATCAGATCATATTAACAATATTCAGCTTTAAGTAGTGAAGCTTCATTGATGTAATAATGCTCATGCTGTTAACACTGTAAGAAAATAAAAAAAGTTATTTCAAATTAAATAATATTTCATGATAGTTTTATCTTTTACCAACAAAGATGCATTTTCCTTCATTTTATCAGTGCAGGATTATATCTGAGGTAATTTCTTCTTCTCCTTGAGTCTCACCTTACAGAGTCTCTGTTCAGCAGAGACACTGTAAAGTTTCTCTTTATAGCTGCATTAAGAGAACTTTCTAAATGCAGGTATAAACAAGGTGTGAATGAAAGAATGAAAGCAGGTGTTTTCATGAATTCATTTAAAATGTAGTTTGTACAAATCTACATTACTCAATACAGTTTCAAGGATTAAAAATGAAATTTAAAGTACTTTCAACATGAGATGGTTCTTATCTCAGATTTTCAAACCATAGATTTTATGTCAGTGTTGCATATACCACACAGTGACACATTGGTCTATTCTGATGAAGCATGCAGGGTGAGTATCAAATTTCAAATTTCCATCACATACTCCTCCCTTGTGAGCATTCTTTGATCACTCAAGAATATACAGCATTACAAAAGATCATCAGGTCATAGAAAGGCATCATGATGTAATCTACACCAGTTTAACAAAGACAACGAATCTGGGTCCTTCCTTTCATCACAGTTCTGCTGCTGCAACAATGGCATGTTCACTTGTTCATGGAGTGTGATCATTTGAATAGACACACATTTATCAATAGCTCTTACAGTCAAACCTCTGGCACATGGAATAATGCAACATCCACAGAGAGGTAACAGTGCTACAGCAATCATTAGGCCTGCTAGTATGGGCATCACTAAGGCTTTTTATTTAGCAAATACAGAATCAGACCAGTCAAACATATTAGTGTCCACTTC